TGAAGTGATGTTGAGTTTTCAAGTCAAATGTTTGACTGAAACATCAACACCTCCTCTCTACTTTGATCCTTTTGTGTCATTCATGGAATAAAGAAACAACACAGTGTTTTAATGTGTTGCTCAGTGTCTGCTTTGCTCTTCATATTTTCATTTGTAATAAAGAAACATCATCAGTGTGTCTCTTGTTGCAGGGATCGAGCATGCCAACGTCTGCAGCAAACTGAGGAAACGTCGTCGAGTCCGAGAAGAAAGTGTTTTTTGGCCGACCTCCCACTGATTGGTGAGTAAATGTATTTACAACATATACAGTATGTATTCTTTCAGATGAAGCTATGAACATCATTTAAATGTTTTTTTCTTCAGAAAGGTAAATTGATTATTGTTTTCACAATATTTATAAAATTATTGTTCTGCTGGTTCAGAAATATCTCATATAAAAAACTCAGGTTTGATTTCCATATGAGAAGCTGGGTTAATCATTCAGAGTGAACCAGATCAAGTCTGACTGGACTAATCTTGAAGTTTTCATCTGTTGTTGTGGTTTGATATCTAACTATCTAATCTTTCTCTTTTTCAGCTTTCTCAGAGATGACGACCAATCATCAAGTTCACTTCCATCCCTCCACAGTGATCAGTCAACAGGCAAAATAATTGATTTTAAAAAATCTGACAAAAGCAACCCAGACAGGTAAGTGTTTTTAACATTGAATCCTGACAGTCATGTTTGTACACACACACACACACACACACACACACACACACACACACACACACACACACACACACACTGAGTCTGTTTTGCTGCATGTTGAAAAAACAAATACAATCTCATGTTGAGTCGATCATGTTTGCACTCTGAAAACTTTCATCTGTCTTTATTATTTTCACAACAGGTTTGTTTTTCTAACTTTTTTTGCATCCTTCCAATCCGTGTTCAGGATCAGTTTCTGTGTGTAAATTGGTGGTGTTCCTTTAATGTGTAGTTTCAGTATAGCTAGCAGCGTATCAAACTCTGACATCCTGAAATACACCTGAAGTGATGCTGATCATTCTGCAGCTCTTTTATCAACAGGGGAAACTCTCCTGGCTCTTGTCTTGTTTTCAGGAGTGGGTGGACCCAGAGGTTTTTATTTCTTTATTTTTTAAGGACTGAAAGAATCACAAAGTCATCCTCACGGCTCGATAACTCCATTCTGTCTCACACTGACAATTTTCAGAATGAAGAGAAGAATGAACACATCTGACTCAGAGTGCGAGGTTCCTGTGTAACGTTTTGATCGGATTACAGATCTGAAAAACACATTTTAAAAAAACAGACTCAGTGTGCAAAGACCTTAAAGATGAAACAACCCCCATGGTTGATGTAAAGCAAACGCCATGCTCCTGTTTAAAAGATGTTGAAGTGATGTTGAGTTTTCAAGTCAAATGTTTGACTGAAACATCAACACCTCCTCTCTACTTTGATCCTTTGTGTCATTCATGGAATAAAGAAACAACACAGTGTTTAATGTGTTGCTCAGTGTCTGCTTTGCTCTTCATATTTCATTTGTAATAAAGAAACATCATCAGTGTGTCTCTTGTTGCAGGGATCAAAGATGGCAACGTCTGCAGCAACTGAGGGAACGTCGTCGAGTCCGAGAAGAATGTTTTTTGGCCGACCTCCCACCTGATTGGTGAGTAAAATGTATTTACAACATATACAGTATGTATTCTTTCAGATGAAGCTATGAACATCATTTAAATGTTGTTTTTCTTCAGAAAGGTAAATTGATTATTGTTTTCACATATTTATAAAATTATTGTTCCTGCTGGTTCAGAAATATCTCATATAAAAAACTCAGGTTTCATTTCCATATGAGAAGCTGGGTTAATCATTCAGAGTGAACCAGATCAAGTCTGACTGGACTAATCTTGAAGTTTTTCATCTGTTGTTGTGGTTTGATATCTAACTATCTAATCTTTCTCTCTTTTTCAGCTTTCTCAGAGATGACGACCAATCATCAAGTTCATCTGATCCATCCCTCCACAGTGATCAGTCAACTGGAAAAAAGATTGATTTAAAAAAAATAGAAAAAAGCCACCCAATCAAGTAAGTGTTTTTAACAATGAATACTTACAGTCATGTTTGTACACACACACACACACACACACACACACACACACACACACACACACACACACACACACACACACACACACACTGAGTCTGTTTTGCTGCATGTTGAAAAAACAAATACAATCTCATGTTGAGTCGATCATGTTTGCAGTCTGAAAACTTTCATCTGTCTTTATTATTTTCACAACAGGTTTGTTTTTCTGTTTGAACACATCTGACTCAGAGTGTGAGGTTCCTGTGTAACGTTTTGATCGGATTACAGATCTGAAAAACACATTTAAAAAAAACAGACTCAGTGTGCAAAGACCTTCAAGATGAAACAACCCCCATGGTTGATGTAAAGCAAACACCATGCTCCTGTTTAAAAGATGTTGAAATAGTTGAGTTTTCAAGTCAAATGTTTGACTGAAACATCAACACCTCCTCTCTACTTTGATCCTTTGTGTCATTCATGGAATAAAGAAACAACACAGTGTTTAATGTGTTGCTCAGTGTCTGCTTTGCTCTTCATATTTCATTTGTAAAAAGAAACATCATCAGTGTGTCTTGTTGCAGGATCGAGCATGCCAACGTCTGCAGCAACTGAGGAAACGTCGTCGAGTCCGAGAAGAAAAGTTTTTTGGCCGACCTCCCACCTGATTGGTGAGTAAAATGTATTTACAACATATACAGTATGTATTCTTTCAGATGAAGCTATGAACATCATTTAAATGTTTTTCTTCAGAAAGGTAAATTGATTATTGTTTTCACATATTTATAAAATTATTGTTCCTGCTGGTTCAGAAATATCTCATATAAAAAACTCAGGTTTGATTTCCATATGAGAAGCTGGGTTAATCATTCAGAGTGAACCAGATCAAGTCTGACTGGACTAATCTTGAAGTTTTTCATCTGTTGTTGTGGTTTGATATCTAACTATCTAATCTTTCTCTCTTTTTCAGCTTTCTCAGAGATGACGACCAATCATCAAGTTCATCTGATCCATCCCTCCACAGTGATCAGTCAACAGGCAAAATAATTGATTTTAAAAAATCTGACAAAAGCAACCCAGACAGGTAAGTGTTTTTAACATTGAATCCTGACAGTCATGTTTGTACACACACACACACACACACACACACACACACACACACACACACACACACACACACACACACACACACACTGAGTCTGTTTTGCTGCATGTTGAAAAAACAAATACAATCTCATGTTGAGTCGATCATGTTTGCACTCTGAAAACTTTCATCTGTCTTTATTATTTTCACAACAGGTTTGTTTTTCTAACTTTTTTTGCATCCTTCCAATCCGTGTTCAGGATCAGTTTCTGTGTGTAAATTGGTGGTGTTCCTTTAATGTGTAGTTTCAGTATAGCTAGCAGCGTATCAAACTCTGACATCCTGAAATACACCTGAAGTGATGCTGATCATTCTGCAGCTCTTTTATCAACAGGGGAAACTCTCCTGGCTCTTGTCTTGTTTTCAGGAGTGGGTGGACCCAGAGGTTTTTATTTCTTTATTTTTTAAGGACTGAAAGAATCACAAAGTCATCCTCACGGCTCGATGACTCCATTCTGTCTCACACTGACAATTTTCAGAATGAAGAGAAGAATGAACACATCTGACTCAGAGTGTGAGGTTCCTGTGTAACGTTTTGATCGGATTACAGATCTGAAAAACACATTTTAAAAAAACAGACTCAGTGTGCAAAGACCTTAAAGATGAAACAACCCCCATGGTTGATGTAAAGCAAACGCCATGCTCCTGTTTAAAAGATGTTGAAGTGATGTTGAGTTTTCAAGTCAAATGTTTGACTGAAACATCAACACCTCCTCTCTACTTTGATCCTTTGTGTCATTCATGGAATAAAGAAACAACACAGTGTTTAATGTGTTGCTCAGTGTCTGCTTTGCTCTTCATATTTCATTTGTAATAAAGAAACATCATCAGTGTGTCTCTTGTTGCAGGGATCAAAGATGGCAACGTCTGCAGCAACTGAGGGAACGTCGTCGAGTCCGAGAAGAATGTTTTTTGGCCGACCTCCCACCTGATTGGTGAGTAAAATGTATTTACAACATATACAGTATGTATTCTTTCAGATGAAGCTATGAACATCATTTAAATGTTGTTTTTCTTCAGAAAGGTAAATTGATTATTGTTTTCACATATTTATAAAATTATTGTTCCTGCTGGTTCAGAAATATCTCATATAAAAAACTCAGGTTTCATTTCCATATGAGAAGCTGGGTTAATCATTCAGAGTGAACCAGATCAAGTCTGACTGGACTAATCTTGAAGTTTTTCATCTGTTGTTGTGGTTTGATATCTAACTATCTAATCTTTCTCTCTTTTTCAGCTTTCTCAGAGATGACGACCAATCGACATGTCCATCTGATCCATCCCTCCTCAGTGATCAGTCAACAGGCAAAATAATTGATTTTAAAAAATCTGACAAAAGCAACCCAGCCAGGTAAGTGTTTTTAACAATGAATCCTGACAGTCATGTTTGTACACACACACACTGAGTCTGTTTTGCTGCATGTTGAAAAAACAAATACAATCTCATGTTGAGTCGATCATGTTTGCACTCTGAAAACTTTCATCTGTCTTTATTATTTTCACAACAGGTTTGTTTTTCGAACTTTTTTTGCATCCTTCCAATCCGTGTTCAGGATCAGTTTCTGTGTGTAAATTGGTGGTGTTCCTTTAATGTGTAGTTTCAGTATAGCTAGCAGCGTATCAAACTCTGACATCCTGAAATACACCTGAAGTGATGCTGATCATTCTGCAGCTCTTTTATCAACAGGGGAAACTCTCCTGGCTCTTGTCTTGTTTTCAGGAGTGGGTGGACCCAGAGGTTTTTATTTCTTTATTTTTTAAGGACTGAAAGAATCACAAAGTCATCCTCACGGCTCGATAACTCCATTCTGTCTCACACTGACAATTTTCAGAATGAAGAGAAGAATGAACACATCTGACTCAGAGTGCGAGGTTCCTGTGTAACGTTTTGATCGGATTACAGATCTGAAAAACACATTTAAAAAAAACAGACTCAGTGTGCAAAGACCTTCAAGATGAAACAACCCCCATGGTTGATGTAAAGCAAACGCCATGCTCCTGTTTAAAAGATGTTGAAGTGATGTTGAGTTTTCAAGTCAAATGTTTGACTGAAACATCAACACCTCCTCTCTACTTTGATCCTTTGTGTCATTCATGGAATAAAGAAACAACACAGTGTTTAATGTGTTGCTCAGTGTCTGCTTTGCTCTTCATATTTCATTTGTAATAAAGAAACATCATCAGTGTGTCTCTTGTTGCAGGGATCGAGCATGCCAACGTCTGCAGCAACTGAGGAAACGTCGTCGAGTCCGAGAAGAAAGTTTTTTGGCCGACCTCCCACCTGATTGGTGAGTAAAATGTATTTACAACATATACAGTATGTATTCTTTCAGATGAAGCTATGAACATCATTTAAATGTTTTTTTCTTCAGAAAGGTAAATTGATTATTGTTTTCACATATTTATAAAATTATTGTTCCTGCTGGTTCAGAAATATCTCATATAAAAAACTCAGGTTTGATTTCCATATGAGAAGCTGGGTTAATCATTCAGAGTGAACCAGATCAAGTCTGACTGGACTAATCTTGAAGTTTTTCATCTGTTGTTGTGGTTTGATATCTAACTATCTAATCTTTCTCTCTTTTTCAGCTTTCTCAGAGATGACGACCAATCATCAAGTTCATCTGATCCATCCCTCCACAGTGATCAGTCAACAGGCAAAATAATTGATTTTAAAAAATCTGACAAAAGCAACCCAGACAGGTAAGTGTTTTTAACATTGAATCCTGACAGTCATGTTTGTACACACACACACACTGAGTCTGTTTTGCTGCATGTTGAAAAAACAAATACAATCTCATGTTGAGTCGATCATGTTTGCACTCTGAAAACTTTCATCTGTCTTTATTATTTTCACAACAGGTTTGTTTTTCGAACTTTTTTTGCATCCTTCCAATCCGTGTTCAGGATCAGTTTCTGTGTGTAAATTGGTGGTGTTCCTTTAATGTGTAGTTTCAGTATAGCTAGCAGCGTATCAAACTCTGACATCCTGAAATACACCTGAAGTGATGCTGATCATTCTGCAGCTCTTTTATCAACAGGGGAAACTCTCCTGGCTCTTGTCTTGTTTTCAGGAGTGGGTGGACCCAGAGGTTTTTATTTCTTTATTTTTTAAGGACTGAAAGAATCACAAAGTCATCCTCACGGCTCGATGACTCCATTCTGTCTCACACTGACAATTTTCAGAATGAAGAGAAGAATGAACACATCTGACTCAGAGTGTGAGGTTCCTGTGTAACGTTTTGATCGGATTACAGATCGAAAAACACATTTTAAAAAACAGACTCAGTGTGCAAAGACCTTAAAGATGAAACAACCCCCATGGTTGATGTAAAGCAAACGCCATGCTCCTGTTTAAAAGATGTTGAAGTGATGTTGAGTTTTCAAGTCAAATGTTTGACTGAAACATCAACACCTCCTCTCTACTTTGATCCTTTGTGTCATTCATGGAATAAAGAAACAACACAGTGTTTAATGTGTTGCTCAGTGTCTGCTTTGCTCTTCATATTTCATTTGTAATAAAGAAACATCATCAGTGTGTCTCTTGTTGCAGGGATCAAATAAGGCAGCGCCTGCAGGAACTGAGGGAACAGCTTCGAGTCCAAAAAGAAAGTTTTTTGGCCGACCTCCCACCTCATCAGTGAGTAAAATGTATTTACAACATATACAGTATGTATTCTTTCAGATGAAGCTATGAACATTATTTAAATGTTTTTTTCTTCAGAAAGGTAAATTGATTTTTGTTTTCACATATTTATAAAATTATTGTTCCTGCTGGTTCAGAAATATCTCATGTAAAAAACTCAGGTTTGATTTCCATATGAGAAGCTGGGTTAATCATTCCGAGTGAACCAGATCAAGTCTGACTGGACTAATCTTGAAGTTTTTCATCTGTTGTTGTGGTTTGATATCTAACTATCTAATCTTTCTCTCTTTTTCAGCTTTCTCAGTGATGACGCCCAATCATCACGTCCATCTGATCCATCGTTCACCACACGGTAAATTTATTTTTGTTTTCACATATATTTAAAATTATTGTTCCTTCTGGTCCAGAAATATCTCGTTTAAAAAACTCAGGTTTGATTTCCATATGAGAAGCTGGGTTAATCATTCCGAGTGAACCAGATCAAGTCTGACTGGACTAATCTTGAAGTTTTTCATCTGTTGTTGTGGTTTGATATCTAACTATCTAATCTTTCTCTCTTTTTGTGATGACGACCAATCATCACGTCCATCTGATCCATCCCTCCACAGTGATGACGCCCAATCATCACGTCCATCTGATCCATCCCTCACCACATTGTAAATACATTTTTGTTTTCACATATTTATATAAAATTATTGTTCCTTCTGGTTCAGAAATATCTCGTATAAAAAAACTGAGGTTTGATTTCCATTGGGAGTTAGTGAATTGAGGAAAGCTGCTATGGCTGCGGATTCCTATGAGTTAACACATAGAGATGGGCCTTGGAAAGGTAAAGTCGGTAGACAGGGAGTTTCTGACAGACCTGTTGAGGCTGTCATGACAAAGTCTGCTCCTACCTTTGCTCAGCCACAAGGTTCATAGAAGAGGCACGACAAGTCACACGTATCTAGGAATTACATTATTTGTCATTACTGCAAAAGGCCCGGCCATTTGAAGTCCAAATGCCTGAGTCTTAAAAAGAAAAATGGCGAAGCCAATATTGTGGGGTTGATTGGTGCCCAGATTCAGACCATTCCTGGTGACATTGGCAGTTTTAACCTGCTGTTTAGCCCAATAATGGAAAGATTTGAGGGTTTTGTGTCCAAAGGTGCTGTTTCTTGTACCTCTGAGGGTGAAAAGGTCCCTGTCAACATCTTGAGGGACACAGGTGCAAACTGGTCCTTGTTGCTGCAAGGTGTTCTTGTTCTTTCCCCCAAAACCTATTTGAATGTATCAACCCCAGTAAAAGGCATGGGAGATGGTTTTGTTAGTGCTCCCTTACATAAAGTATTTCTGCAGTCCAACATTGTGAATGGACCAGTAGAAGTAGGTGTGGTACCAGACCTGCCCATAAAATGGGTGGCTTTTGTGTTGGGCAATGATTTGGCCGGTTGTGAGTGAGCAACCCTGTGAGGTCCCAGAGACCTTGGCTCTGGAGAGAGAACACCCCGAGGTGTTTACAGCAAGTGTGGTGACACGAGCTCAGTCCCGTGCGGTTGAAAAAGAGAGCTTCAGTGAGGATGATGACTTTTCTGGGGGTTTGGCTGACACATTTTTCGCTAGGTTAGCTGAGGTAGCCCCCTGCTCTCGGTTTTCTCGTGACGCCCTTGTATTAGAGCAGGAAAAGGATCCCTCTATAGCTTCTCCGAAACAAATGGCTGGTAGTACTGAAGACCTGAAGGGGGTAGCTGAAGGTTTGTTTATCCAAGACGGAGTTTTGTTAAGGAAATGGCGCCCTCGTGACCGTCCAGCAGATGAGCTGTGGACAGGTATGACACAGATTGTGTTACCTGAGAGTTTTAGGAAAGAAGTCCTGCGTTTGGCTCATGAGGTATCCATGGCTGGCCACTTAGGAATTCGGGAAAACACAAGAGAAAATCAGTTGGCATTTTTATTGGCCTCGGATGCATAAAGATGTCGTTTTGTATTGTCGCAGTTGTCACGCTTGTCAGGTAACAGGCAAGCCAAATCAAACTATTCCGGTTGCTCCTCTCTGTCCTCTAGCTGTCATGGAAGAACCTTTTTCCAGAGTAGTGATTGATTGTGTTGGGCCTCTACCAAAAACTAAGAACGGAAATGAATATCTCTTCACTATTATGGATGCTTCCACCAGGTTTCCTGAAGCTGTTCCATTAAGATCTATTAAGACCAAGGTCATAGTTGAGGCTCTTTTGCATTTCTTTTCTAGGGTTGGTTTACCACGAGAAGTTCAACATGATCGTGGGTCCAACTTTACTTCCGGTGTTTTCCAGGAAGTGATGCATGAGCTAGGCATTAAGCAGATCATGTCATCAGCTTATCATCCCCAGTCCCAGGGTGCTATTGAGAGATAGGTCAATGACGTGACGCTCATTTTTTTGTGTCCATAAGGTTTAGTGAACTTTTAAAGGCTTAAAATCTAAAAATAAATGCACAGATGACATGCTTTCATCCTTTGTTTTGAGGACCTAGTCTAAAATTTATATTTATTATACATTTTTAGAGAATATTTGGGGTATTTAGGCAAAAATGTCTAAGTGCTTTAAAAAGGTTAAATTTTCATATAACACCCTATGAACTAGCCTGGCATAATCTTACAATAGAACTGTTAAAACTGGAAATCGTGTCACCCAGTCAAGTACCAAATTGTCAACATGGTGTAACCACCATTGAAGGAGCCATTTTGTTAATATATTCATCATATCATGTGACAAGAAATGATATCACAAAGAAGAACCCCTGATGGTCCTAACTGCTGCACGCCATGTTTAGCAACTCTCTTTAAAACATGAGATAATTTAACATTTTAAGGGCGTGGTCAGGTATGTCAAATGGTATGACCTCAGAAAAACATTAACAATTTATGATGATTATAAAAATTTGTATTCACTTCGAAAATTAGATTTGAAATGTTCACACCAGGAAATGTGCTTACATAGGTCTCAATGATAATACCTGTCAAATTTGATTTGAAGTGGAAATGTCAAATGGTGTAACCGGTTATTTGACATTTATGACAAGCCTTTCTGTTAGAGGCCACTTTTGTCAAATATCAGTATTTTTTAATGTTGATTAAAGTGGTTATCCATCCACAACCTTATTATCAAGGGTCTAGGACAAAATACTCTGGCATTTTGTAAATGTTGAGCTTCAAATTGCATATTTGTGTTCCATTCACTTACATTTATAAAGGTGCACTATGTAGTTTTGGTAGAGAAATGTGAAAGTTGGAGAAATTTACAGATTATATGCTATATGTTCATAACTCTAAACACAAACTGTCCTCAAATGAAAATTTGGTCCTTGTAACACTGTTTGAAGATAAAATGCTACTGGAGAAGTTATGGTGGTGGGGCCCGCAACAGTGAAAGCGTAACTCTCCTGGTAGCTTTATATCTCCAAACAGTGTTCCAGGGACCCATTTTTTACTTTGAATAAAGTTTGTGTATTCAGTTCACAAAATACATCAAAGAATTGTTTCACTTCTCCAACTTTCACCACCAAATCTACACAGTGCACCTTTAAACATGTATAATCTAATATATGTTTGTATGCTGTAATATTGGCACCAGGAGTTGCATTTTAGATGTGTAGGCTATTAGGGGCCATGTGGTAGGTAGTATCAGTGTGTCACTACCTGGAGCTTGCTTGCCAAAGTCTGGTACTATAGAAGGTGGCAATGCTGTTTGTGCTGTGATGGCCATGATGTAAAGAAGGAGAGATGTAAAGTGTTGCCTGTGGGTATGTTATCCTTTGATTAGGGCACAAGTACCTTGAGTTTATTCCAAATACTGAAGAAATGAATTCCCCCTGAAGATTTTGGTCAGATGTTGTAATTTACTTAAGATATGAATTAATTAAGGATGCACCGATCCTGACGAAGACAGCTAGATCAGGTATCAGTAAGAATTTGCCGATCTATGAGACCCATCCAAAAGGCCGATCTGTTCACTTCAGTTTTATGCTATTCTGTGTTTAAGACAAATGTGCTACATTACTGTCTTCAGCGTACTGGTATTCTGTGCACTTTGGAAGGTGGAGCAAACATTAAATGGAGGAAGCTAACAACAATTTCTTCAAGAAACAATGGCCTTTGACTGTAGAAGCAGCATGGTCAGTTGGTGTAACTGGTTTGCGTCAATTGGTGTAACCAGTATTTCTTGTAAAAATTCTAATAAAATACAGGAAAATTAAAGTGGAATAAAAGTAGTCCTCTATTGCAGTGAAATAACATGTTTTTAAACAATTTTCACATAATTTGCCAAAAATTAATTAGAAAACAGAGGTGTTTTCAGCTTTGTGTCCCGCTCAGTATTGAAAAAAGGCATAACTTGTAAATTTAGGGATAATCCTAATAAAATCTATTTTCTTGTGCTATTTTAAAATGAAGTAATTACAATCATGAGTACACTTACATATACTCTAGATCAGGGGTGTCCAAACTATGGCCTGCGGGCCAACTGCGGCCCGCGGTCCAGTTTTTATTGGCCCGCAGCAAATTCTGAAAATATAATTGAATATGGCCCGTACAAGAAGCTTGAGCTCAACTCTGTTGCACTTCTCAGTTTCAACACTAGATGGAGCCAGCCACAGAAACGGTGCTTCTCCACTAAACAAAATTAAGCAAATAAAAACTTATACCGCGAAAGTAGTCACCAGAAATGGCAGCACCGAAGAAGCGCAAAATAGCTAGTGAGTATAGGAGATTTCAAACACGGTGGGAAAATGAATATTTCTTCAAAGAAGTCAACGGAAAGTGTGTCTGTTTGATTTGCAAGGAAGATGTTGCTGTGATGAAAGAGTATAATGTCCATCGGCACTATGAGACCAAACATCAGAGCTACACATCGTACACCGGTGCCGAACGAACACAGAAAGTCAAGCAAATGGCAGCTAGCCTGCAAGCTCAACAACAGCTTTTTTTTC